AGGAACAGCGAAGAGGACAAAGAGTTAAAGAGATCAGGCAAGTAATAGGAACAGAAGTCAGTGAGCAGGCTGACATGTCACAAACGTTGGCTCATATTGTGACCTATCTTACCTTTCTAGAAGAGAAGATTGATAGACAGCAGAATCAGTTGGATGAAATCGCTGTTGGATTGAGAACAATTGCTAATATTGTGAAAGGTAAGAATCAGATTCAGGGAGGAGAAGAACAAGAAGAGAAGAAGGAGAAGAAAGAAGTAAAAAAGTTGATGGGGGACGCAATAAAGTCTGCTGGTCCTGCGATAAAGACAAATGGAAATGRAAATGGATCCAATGGAAATGGATCAAGTCCACCATCTACTCCTCACTCTTCTCATTCTTCTAAGTCTACTCCTAAAGAAACCCCAGAAATGATAAGCGCTGAACCCGAAAAACCGAAAAAAAAAGCAAAAGTGAGGATGAAGTTGCCATTTACGTTTTGCAACAAGAAAGAAGAAAGTCTGTTGCTATGGATTGCAGAAATCCAGACGTATGTGAGTACCGCACCGGTCGAGCCGGAGACCCAAGTCGCGTTCACCACTTCTTGCATGGGTGGTGAGGCCAAGCAATGGGTGTTGGCCGAGGCCAATGCGGCGGGTTTCGAAGATATCGGTGAGTGGGCAAAGACACTGACGCTGAAACAATTCTTGGCAAAAACCAGGGACCGTTTTCTCGACAACACGACGGCCGATAAGGCCTTTGACCAGTTGACGTCAATTGGTCAAAAGCATTGGACGTCAGTTGAGGCTTTGTCCCGAGAAGTTGACCGATTGTTGCAAGTTCCAGGATTGAACCTGCAGGACAGCCAAGTGTTGTACATCTATTCCCGCGCGTTGCCTGAGCCCATCCGGGGACACTTAGTCACTGAAGCGAAATCCGGTAAGTACAACTACAGGCAATTTCGTGACCTTGCCCTGCAGAGGGAACAGATGACTTCTCAAGTCAAGAATTCCTATGCAGCGGTAGTTAAATCTGGAGGAAAACAGTACAATGGGAAACAAGTTCTTTGGCGACAGAAGCGCCAGGACCA